ACGCAATGCCAAGGCTTGCAACGTCTACACGCCGCGGGCATGATGTAAACAGGAATGGCGCAAAAAGAAGTTTCCAGACATTTTTATGTTCATCGAAACACAATATCATCTCTTTGGAGACGTTATCTATATCAGGACAACAACCATGACTTTCCACGGGCCGGTCGCCCACGTATTAGGTCACGTCAACCATATTCGGTTGGTTCATCTACAGAATCGATAACAAACTGCCATGTCACCATCAGACACACCTAGCTTGGTATAGGCAGCATGTGAGGTTCAGAAGACAAAACTGGGACAATATACTGTTAACAGATGAGTCCAGGTTTCATCTGAGCAGCTCTGATGGTCGTGCAAGGGTCTACAGGCGTTCAGGTGAATGCTTTAACTATGCTTGCGTTACTCAACGTCGTCAGTTTTAGGGTGGAAGTGCAATGCTGGGTTGTCATCACAACTCATCATTGTTACCGGGACGACATCGTTACAAATCATTGTCTACCCTTTGTGCAACATCTCTGGGATGACAGGACTAGAACCAGCCGGTAACCCTATCTCAGTTGGACCAGTCTTTGGTTGACATTTGGAACAACATCCCCCAGGCTGTTTCCAGTCATCGGTTTTCTTCAATGCACCGCAGCCACCGCCTCGTCCGTATCAAAGCAAATGTTGGTCACCCCCGACATTGACATTGTTCAGTGAGTTGTTTCACCACGCCTCTTTCAGGGCGTGTCTCCCTGTCTCCTGTTACCAGGTGTGGGTGTTGTCAATGAATTTGTAATGATAAAACATTGACCAGAACAATGACCAAATATCATGTTGTTATTATCAATAACATTACATTTACACCGCTTTGTCTGAAGCGGGGCGGTCGGGTAGCCTAGTGGTTAAAGCGTTCGCTCGTCACGCCGTAAACCCGGGTTCGATTCCCGACATGGGTACAATGTGTGAAGCTCATTTTTGGTGTCCCCCTGGCGTGATATTGCTGGAATATTGCTAAAAGCGGCGTAAAACCATTTCAATCAATTATCTGAAGCACGGTTACTTCTTTCCGTTAGTATATATAGTTTTGATGTATTTATGCCATGACATTGATTTCTTACTTTCTTCTCGTCGCTATATGTTTGACACGCTCCAACTCACTCGTCTTCACGTGACCTATGACGTAACTTACACAAAAGCATCTGAAATTAAGATAATATCAACTGCGAATATCAATAGAAATAAATGAGTCAGATCAGGGTGTACCTGAATTCCTTGTTGGCAACTTTCCTATTTCGATTAATAAAAATGGAGAAAAAAACACACGGACTGAAAGCGCGTCCCTGACGGACTCAGCGTGGACATTGAAGCATTTCAGAAAATGAGTTATCAAATCTTACACAAGATCTGACTGATTGAACACACCTTATCGTTTTTGGTGATACACTTCAATGTATGGATCCGACGTATGCGGGTTATATAAATGATACAATGGTGTGAGTGAGTTGGGTTTAACGCCGCTTTTAACATTATTCCAGTCATATCACGGTGTGTCAGCTTAATGTGGGAGGAAAGCCCGAAGTGATGCAGGTCTTAGACGTTTACCACTTCGGTGAAACCCACGAGCACGGGTATGGTGCTGACAAACCTAGAAACATAATCGGGGTGAACCGGGATTCGAACCCACAATCATAGGTTTCTGGCGTGTCCAGGGGAATCGCGGCGCCTTAGACGACTGGGCCACTCGTGCCCCCTTGATACAATGGAAACTGTACATATGTTGGCGTGGAAGTGCTTATCCATTATTTATTTATGCATACAAAAGATGTATTAGTTACCGGCTGAATTCAATGCCTGACTCCCGTTATCCAAATGTTACAGGCATCTAATAAAGGCAAACACAATAGGGTTTCGAAATGTAAATATGTCCTGGTTAGCTTTGGTTTCGGATGTATATGAGAAACAGTAGTATATTCACCATCCAAAATCTTTCTTATCTGAATTCATGTCACGCCTAAACGATACCTGAACAGGATTGGCATAGCATGCTCCAAACCGTACCAACACATCATCATATTTATTGTTTAAAGTTACTTTTGAAAGAGAGCTGACCTCAGTTGTATATCTGTCAAGACATTCAAAGTGTCCCCAGCACAATGTCGATGTTTTTCACATAGTGCCTGTTGAATCCGGTAGTTCTGTTTCTATACCACAAAGTGGTTGATTATGTAAATGTTGAAATTATGGATATATTGAGGATGAATATCACTTCCTATTAGTTTACTCTGCGTACAAACAGCTACGTTAATATATACACAAGAAAATTATAGCCTTCATCCAAAAAAGATAAATGTTATCTTCTAATGGCCACAAGAAGCGGTACGTGTATTCAACATCTAGCTGTGTACCTTTATCATGCTATGCTCCAACGTAAAACAATTCACAGGATATAATGTCATAAATATTCTCTCTTGTCAACTCTCTTTTATTAATATGTTGTATGTATTCTACACGTCATGTAATCGAATGAAACACAGGCCGTTGACCTACATTTACCGAAATAAAGTGAATTTATGACTTTTCCAAATTTACTGTTGATCTGCAGTTACCAGCGCATGTTTACAAAGTATTTAGTTGAGTTTGTAAACCTATTGCACGTTCACATAGAAGAGTCGTGTACTTTCCTACCGCTCAAAGATTACTGGTTGGCTGGTTGGTTTGTTGTTTAACGCCGCACTCAGCATTATTCCATCTATATTACGGCGGTCTGTAAATAATCGAGTCTGGACCAGACAATCCAGTGATTAATATCACGAGCATCAAACTACGCACTTGGGATCAATGACATGCATCAACCAAGTCAGCGAGCCTGACCACCCGATCCCGTTAGTCGCCTCTTACGACAAGCACAGTCGCCTTTTAAGGCAAGCATGGGTTGCTGAAGACCTATTCTACCCTGGATCTCAAAGATTACTGGCTTGCACGTTGTCTACGGTCCAAGTGCATGTTAAACTGTCACTTAGATATTGATATTGTTGTGACAGTTGTTTATTAATTTGGGAACAAGGGTAGCTAAGCATCATGATCTGGGCCCAGCTGGACGACCTGACCTCTGACTATTGTAAACCCCGTCACGGCAGTAGTACCGGGGCTAGCTTGGTGAAGTTGGGGGTTGATAACATTTTTTGGGCCTTTTGAAAATTTAAGTCGTTATCCTATTTTTTTATTTTGAGTAACCAGTTCTTGCTTGTTTTAAATAGGTAGCGGTACCCACGTGTTAGAAGATGAATATATCTTTCTTTGAATGACCTGTCTGGTTGACCAGAGAACTCCTGAGAGTGTCATGTATTCCTTCTGGTTGTAGGATATAGGTTGACCAGAGAGCTCCCGAGTGTGTCATGTATTCCTTCTGGTTGTAGGATATAGGGTGACCAGAGAGCTCCCGAGTGTGTCATGTATTCCTTCTTGTTGTAGGACAACAAGTTGACCAGAGAACTCCTGAGTGTGCCATGTATTCCTTCTGGTTGTAGGATATAGGTTATCCAGAGAGCTCCTGAGTGTGTCATGTATTCCTTCTGGTTTTAGGATATAGGTTGACCAGAGAACTCCTGAGTGTGTCATGTATACCTTCTGGTTGTAGGATATAGGTTATCCAGAGAGCTCCTGAGTGTGTCATGTATTCCTTCTGGTTGTAGGATATAGGTTGACCAGAGAACTCCTGAGTGTGTCATGTATTCCTTCTGGTTGTAGGATATAGGTTGACCAGAGAGCTCCTGAGTGTGTCATGTATAAGTTCTGGTTGTAGGATATAGGTTGACCAGAGAGCTCCTGGGTGTGTCATGTATTCCTTCTGGTTGTAGGATATAAGTTGACCAGAGAGCTTCTGAGTGCGTCATGTATTCCTTCTGGTTGTAGGATATAGGTTGACCAGAGAGCCCCTGAGTGTATCATGTATTCCTTCTGGTTGTAGGATATAGGTTGACCAGAGAGCTTCTGAGTGCGTCATGTATTCCTTCTGGTTGTAGGATATAGGTTGACCAGAGAGCTCCTGAGTACGTCATGTATTCCTTCTGGTTGTAGGATTTTGGGTGATCAGAGAGCTCCTGAGTGTTTGTCACATAATGCTTCTAGGTCTAGGGTCACGGTGACCCAGATGTTGATATTCATAAAGACTAGTTGTTTTTCGTAGCTGCAAGAACGGAACAAGTAATGGTCACTGGTGTCCATGTGCAGTCTAAATGAAGCAGTGTCTACGAAACACGGCTTCACCCCACTATCAAGAGTCTACGAACTGCATCATTTTGGATTTCATAGGTTTTACATCTCATCTCACTGCTTCTGGCTGAACTTTCTCAATGTCCTTGTCACAATAAGGCTGTCATGTTAATTGTTGTTGGTGGTATGTGTTTCATCAGAAGGTTGCAGGCAAATGTTAACCCTGCGACAGATCGAGAAGTCCTCCACCAATCCCCACCATCTCACAAGGCAAGGATAAACTAAACACTATTAACTTCTGTTGTCTGGTTTCCTCTATGACCCCCTGTGGATCGAGCCTTGAAACTGACATCTGCATTAGCCTCTATTTTCAAGTACAGAAAGCCTTTCAAAAGGACCCCACCACTTCACTGGGATCTACTACAGATGCAGATTATATATGATCTGTCAAACCCTTTACTTGTGGTCACTGGGTTTCATCACAGTGTTAAGATTCTAACAACGGCTTTTCTTTGGGTTCTTTTTCAGGGATCCATTCCTATACTTACCGGTACTAATTTTCACTGCTATTTTGCCTGTTCCACCCAAATGAATCTGTTTCAGCTGCTCATTGAGACTGGTTATTCTCTGGCATTGACGTTGTATATTCCTCCCTTATGCTATAACATTGTGAAGCAACTGAAATAATGTTCCAACTGAACTCACTCACATGCCCTGTGCATGACTGTGCCTAGAGATCTAGCAGCATCTGTACATGGTATATCTGGACCACTGACAGCTTCAGACAAAAACACAAATTCTTCACATTATTGTTATAGTGATTTATTCATCGAATGTTTATTGCAGTTGATATCCTCTGACAAGTGCACCCTTGATTTGATGATGCCCAAACAAGGTAACAAGGATTTCCCAAAACAGCAAAGTCCTGACTTATCTGGCGGCATGGCGGTAAGGGGAGTAGTGTCATTGATGGCCAGCATGGTTCTGTTAAAACAAATTGTACCCAGGTCATTCTACAATTCATGCTCCACTCACCAGGTGCTGTACACCCACCACCTAAGATTCACCATCTACACCCAAGGCCAACCATCTACACTCAAGGCCCACCATCTACACCCAAGGCCCATCATCTACACCCAAGGCCCATCATCTACACCCAAGGCCAACCATCTACACCCAAGGCCCATCATCTACACCCAAGGCACTCTATCGTCCTCCATCGTCACCATCAACACCTAAGTATTATCAACCACACACAAGGCCCACCGTCCACACGGTCCACCCTCAATGCAAATTGACAAAGGTGCACTGACTCAGGCCACCAAAATGGCCCATTTTCCCCCACTCTCAGCATCCCAATTATCGTCCAGATGTTGGCCCTGGCCCCCCATCAAGACTGTCTTCAAGAACTCGGTCCTCGCCCCCCCCCCCCCCTTCCCCTGCCAGGCTGCCACGTGAGTTTGAGGACATCAAGACTGTCTACAAGAACTCGGTCCTCGCCCCCCCCTTCCCCCGCCAGGCTGCCACGTGAGTTTGAGGACATCAAGACTGTCTCCAAGAACTTGGTCCTGGCCCCCCCTCCCCTTCCCCCGCCAGGCTGCCACGTGAGTTTGAGGACATCAAGACTGTCTCCAAGAACTTGGTCCTCGCCCCCCCCTTCCCCCGCCAGGCTGCCACGTGAGTTTGAGGACATCAAGACTGTCTTCAAGAACTTGGTCCTGGCCCCCCCCCCCCTTCCCCCGCCAGGCTGCCAGGTGAGTGTGTGGGACAGTATGTGGTACAGGACACTAGCTACAGGTACTGCTAATTGTACAAGGCAAGTCAGTCATAGCCAAACAGTTCAAGTCTGCTCCAGCAAACTGGTGAGAAGGGATGTCATCCAATGTCTGGTAACAACCAAGCATGAATACATAGGAATTGTTCCCTTGAACCTGTGTTGACAAATGTCACACGCGTCAAATGCCACATGACAAAATGAGATCCCCCAGAAATTTGATGACATCCTTCTTGTACGTACTAATCATTCTTGGGTTGTGTTTTGAGTCAGAGCCCGACAAACACCAAACAGTCATTGTCAACCATGGCAACACTCCCCTGAAATTTCTTGTCCATAACGTTTACAATAAAACCTGGTCCATTACTAGCAAGTTACACTTTTATAGAAAATAATTTTTGGCCAATATCTGATTGGATTTGAACATGGCATCTGACTCAACAGCCCTTTGCAAAATGTTTCTAGTAATACAACTACAAATATCATTGTAAGATAATCAACAAGCCAGTAGCAGGACACCTACCCATCACCAAAATGTAAGGCTAAATGGATCCAAATATACAAGTAAACTATGAACATAGAAATATGCTATTGTATAACATGGTGTGGTGGGTACATTCATGGTGATGAAACACATGGCAACACAATGCCAGAACACAGATCATCAATATACAGGTTTGGATAGTATCATAACAAAACATAAACATTTAAAATCAATGGAAAATTTAACATACATTTTCTTTTTAAAAAACTGTAAATAATCTATAAACTTACTAAACGTAAATATTGTCAACAATTTACATTTTCCCACAAGATGACATTGATTTTCATGTATACTGTATTAATGACAATAATCGTCCCAATACAGAACTCATAACATGAGAACATGAGACACCAGGTAGAGGCAGGTTTCCTACTGAAGAATGTCAGACTACGAATAACACACTACAAAGATCAACCAAGTGGATAAAGTATAGGGCTGCACTATTTTTTCAATGGATGGTTTAAAGAGGATTGAGATTTGTTACAAATGCTAAATATTTCTTGAATTGCTTACTGGTACAATATTTGCAAACACATATCAATGTTTCAACAAATAATGCACAAAAGAATGTTTGACTCCGTAATATTGTTTTGCTAGTCTGTGACTGCTTCCTTCATGATGGCAGCCTATACTTGTACAACTGTGTTATAACTGTGTTATAACATTGCAGGACCAGTGAGGGGATGCTGACATGCAATGCATAGTTCCAAATCTTGAAAAATACAACTGCACATTTCCCCTTGGAGTGAAGAACTGCCTACTGGTATAGCCATGAAAGGGTTGACAGGTTGACTGTGAAATCTGACATCTCTGTAAACACAACACACACTGACATGAAGATGGAATATAGATGTATACTGATGTGTATACACTTTCTTCACGTTGAGATCGTACAGGAGTGTCTGTTTGTTCTTTGTGAGGCGTGGCACATCTTATTGCTGGAAACAACGGTTAAGAATCTCTTTCCCAAAATAACTTTTGTTAGTATGAAGACTGTTGTTGGTAAAATATTTTGAACATATACCATGTAGCTCAAAACATAAAATTATCACTCGGACATAGTGAGTGAGTTTGGTTTTCCGTGGCTTTTAGCAATATTCCAGCAATATCATGGCTGCGAACACCAGTAAAGGGCTTCATACAATGTACACATGTAGGGAATTGAACCCTGGTCTTCCGCGTTATGAGAGAACGCTTTAACCACTCGGCTACACCACTATACTTAGACATAGACTTCTTATGAGAAGGTAACACTCTGGACAGTTGACAGGACTAGGTATAAGGTTTCTTTCTTCTGAGACTTGTGCCTTAATATGTCTGCAAATAGTTGGTTTAATTCCTTTAGCATCATCACACCAGTACTCTGAATCCTCTTAACATCTTAATAATGCAATTCTAAGCCAGTCAAATGCTCCGCACAGAAGCTTCATTGCCCATGCAGTATGTTTCTTGTATGAACCAGGCTGTTAATCAGTGTAACGCCTGGCCAGCTCTGAATGGCTTCTGGGAATAAATGGACTGATGTCACCTAACAGGATGTTGTGTCTTGACAGCGAATACAACAAGGCAGTTAGATAAAGATATACATCGGTGTGTATATAGGATGTCATCATGACTCATGATTCACCTTTCACGCCATCCAATTCCAAGTGTCTAAAAAAATGAATTACCAGTAGTATTTTACATGACAAAAAAAAATCAAATGTATATTTTGTCATAAAGATTATTCAAAATAATACATTTCTGTCACTTAATGTGAAGTGCCTAATGTGTTGTCACAAGAATATTAAAATACTGTTTCATATAGCTTGGAATAACAAAAAATATTTTCTATTTTCAAAATTTCAAACATACTCCCGGCCTCCATAAGGTGAATGATAAACAACCTCTCACCAAGTTGTGGTTCTGGTGTTCCGTGGTAAGAAACCGATCTCTCCTACACATAATATAGTTTCCATCACATGATATAGAAGGGGTCACAAGTAACACAAACTTTGCCAGAGTCCACGTCCCTCTCAGTATCTTCTCCTGCAAGTTGCCACTGCTTCTCAGATTAAAAATTGAGTGAGACACTAAACCACATACACAAAACAATATCGATGATACTGGAAACGTTATCTTGAAAGCACAATACACAGTGCAAGGAAACCACTGGCAACTTCTGGTAGAAGATACTGTGACGACTTCCCCAGGGTATTACACATTTTCTCCACTGATCTCATCATGTTTCCCTGGTTTTTAACCTACAATGAGGTAACTCTTTTTCTTGACTGCAGTCAAAATGTGCGTTAATCGATATGTCATGAAAACTATATGATCATGCCATCCGTGAATGACAGTAATTCCATCCTGGTAATGGCGGGCTACTTGTGTAGCCCACATTTTCTAGGTGTACGTACACAATCATCTTGACAGACTGGGAATATGTTTTGTCCAATGTTGCATTTCTTTTTATGCTGAACATAATGAAAAATATTATATTTGATAATTGGGTGAAGAATTCAAGACACTAGATACACAAGCTCAAGTTTATTTCAAGTCTCCTGATGTTCCTGACTAATGAAGACTTAACGTAAAGATTAAAGGTTTTCATAAAGCAGATTTTGATGATTGTACAGGATGTAATTGATTGCATGTGTTTAGAGATGTGTGCTAACACAGGGAGCAGATACAGCACTTAGCAATAAAGTAGACAGACATTTCCTGCCTTTCACAGTCCAAACAATTAGCTGGAAAACAATAAATGTCATCTTTGAACATGCTGATGTCCATGTTGGGCTTGTAGAATCAGTTTTGCACACATAGCACTGACAATGTAAGTGTTCTGATGAATGATTCAGTTCAAGATTCACAAGGCCGTACACCAATGTCTGACTGCATTGTGCAAGAACATGTCAAACCTACTTTACCTACATCAGCTAGGGAGGGGGGACATTTTTTTTACATGACTCAGGTAAGCAAACCACTCACACACTCAACTGAAAGCAAGAAACAATGAAACACTCACTTGGATCGTTGGCACAGAGGAACTGCCAACAAGTATCAATGTAACTTCATTCTACAGAATCATGGAGGTATGTTTTCTCAAGAAATATATTTATCGCTCCATTTTGAAAATACATTGGATAACTGGTATTATTTAACTCGTTTCTGCAGTACATGTTGTGTTTTACAAATGACACATCGCAGAGGCAAAGTTATAAACACTAAATTACACCTTAAATGCTTGTTTTTTCATGTAAGAATATTCACCCAAACTGCTGAGATTGTTTATATTTCTTTATTTTAGGTTTCTGATGCCAAAAGAAGTCAACAGATGGGAGAGTAAACAAAGACAAGCTTAAAAAAATGATGAAGTCTTCATAAAATGTCCACCACTATTCTGCCTTTTACATCCAATGGAATCTGTTTCGTGACATAATTGAGACTGATTATTCCCTGGCTATGATGTGCTCTATTCCTGCTAACAAGGCTGTTGTGTGCAGTGATAATGGCAGACAAGAGATACCAGGCCATTACACAACCTCAGTATCTAACAAGGTAGAGGCCCCAGCAGTATGTAACACACCACGGATTGGAGTCACACCAGCTCTATGTTCCTGCACAGCTCATGAAGCAGGCTGACTTGCAGCTCTGAAGCACTCATAAAATCTATGACTTCTGAAGCATTCGTAAAAGAACCAGAACTGTTCAGAGTAGAATGTCAGATGATTTGGTTTCAAATAGAGCATTTATGGCCTTTCATGTCAACAGACGTGGACATTGTTTTATCGTATCAGTCATATTCTATTTGTTTAGCAATTTTGAATTCTACAATTAATTCTGCAATCTGTTTCTCATGCATATGTGATATTCCTACGTTGTTGATTTGAAAGTGTCCTGTTTACCTTCATGTCAGTGTTGTGTTGACACACCAGTCAGTACAATCGTCAACAGCCATGTGAGACTTCCACAAACTCCACTACAGAGAGTACAAATAATAGTGATATATATATTTATATATATATTCAGATATTCAACTGAAATGTGGTAACGGTTTGACAAAGTGTCAAGATGGCATCAATCATTCAAAAGTGGAATCCATTAGCGCCCCTCCAAGTAGGCTCCTCACCCTCCACAAGCGTCCTCTATGACATGAAACACAGAACACAGAATATAGAATTTCATCTTCAGAACACAGAATATAGAATTTCATCTCCAGAACACAGAATATAGAATTTCATCTCCAGAACACAGAATATGCCATTTCATCTCCAGAACACAGAAAATGCCATTTCAACTCCAGAACACAGAATATGCCATTTCATCTCCAGAACACAGAATATGCCAGTTCATCTCCAGAACACAGAATATGCCAGTTCATCTCCAGAACACAGACTATGCTTCCAAACCTTTCCTCTCCAGAACATAGAATATGCCGTTCTGTTTCTTGAATGCAGAATATGGCATTCTATCTTCCAGACACAGAATGTGCAGTTCTGTGACCACAAACCATCCTTCTCCTGGCGGTTAGATGACATAGGTATACAAACTGGGAACAAACATCAGCGCTTGGGCTGGAAACAAAAAGCTTCTAAAAGATGAATGATGTGGTATCTCCTCCTGAAAGGACACAAATTGAATGACATGGCCTAGTACATTTAAACCAGGAACCTGTCTAGGTGGGGAAATACAACACAAAAACAGTTAAATGTCTTCATGCAAACTGCAAGATCAGATTTTGGTATTTCCTATAGGACCTTTTCAGAAAAAGAAAAACTTCACACTGGCTTCTGGGAGTAATTGATGAAAAGGGAAACATTTTTTTTTCTATTCTTTTCTATTCATAGCCACTTGCCATGTGGGGATAGCCCTTGTATCAATGACTCATATGTTTGCAAAGGCAGACAAATTAATGTCAGGTATAAAGAATTGTCTTCTTGCATCTTAAAAAAATCTGACCTTCCAATGTTATTAATGTGTCTTCAAAGGAAGAAATTACTAACAGCTATCCTGTTCTATCAGTTTATGCACAACAAAACCTGGTGGAGGTAACAACATAAAACTTGCTGTTTTGGGAATGTGTGGAGTGAAGTCTAAATGTTAAAGGGACTCTTTGAATGCCACTGTTAAAATATTGGTATATTTAAGTCTTGTTTCAAGCATGGTGTTGCACACTTTATTGGTAAACCACTCCATAGCTAATGGAGCTTTCTGATAAACTGTGATCAGAGAGCCCCTTTAAACCAACTGTCTTGCTAATAGCTGCTGCAAACTGGTTTAGTCCACCAGAAGCTGCTCTAGAGAATGTTCAGCTGCACCATGTACAGATACATACAGGTGTCTCCTCTTACTATAGAAGCACTGACAAGGACACATACAATATGCATGACACCATGCATACACTGCAGACAAACATGGGATGATTCCCCCACAGAGACAGGATCCTGCTCTTACAAACAGTTGCCATGGTGACATGAAGTTGGTCCGTATTACATGAATTTGTTGTGGGCTCTTTCTCCAGGTAATCCATCAGCATTAGATCAGACTGACCTTTGTAACAAAAACATGCTCTCTCTATATATATACATACAGAGAAAAAAGGAAGGTGGACTGCTCCAAAATGATCGCCCTCAATTTCTCTCAAAACTGTTCATTGAATACAAACTGCATTGGCCGGATCACTGTTGATATTATTACATTCGAAAGTATTTTTTTGTAGAACATATCCCAATAATATTTTCTGGTGTCATTGGTAAGCTAATCACTGTATTGACTGAGTTGAATTTGCTTCTTTATATTCTTGAAAAGTGATGACATCAATTCCACAGAATCACTTCCTGTGAATGATCTTGACCTTGACCTTTGCCTCAGCGACTGATCTTTCTCTGTGCACAGAGTTATCTCCCTTGCATAAATCCGATACATATATCTTTTGATTTGAAAATGCATGTTAAGGCCCATGTTCCTGGTGAGGCATGTGGAATGAGAGTGTGGTATTACTCCTTTGAGGCTTCTGCATCTGCCGTCAGCATCTGGTACAACATCGTGTCCTCCATACAACCTTTAATAAACTCCTCCTTTGTCAATACGCCATCTTTGTTCACGTCCATCGTGTCAAATATTTTTTCTGTCCGTACTGTCGGCGAGTCTGTGACATCGTCTGACAGATGGCTCCCCAGCATGCTGTAGATGGCCTGAAACAAGAATGGAGTAGTTCAGGACATTTAAGGACTATTTAGGACACTTCAGAACATTTCAGGATACTTTGGACATTTCAAGGCAATTCAAGACAATTCAGGCCACTCCAGGACATTACAGGACATTACAGGACTATTCAGGACATTTCAGAAAGTTTCACGACATTTCAGGACAATACAGGACACTTCAGGACATTCAGGCCATTACAGGCAATTACAGGCCATATCAGGACTATTCAGGACATTTCAGAAAGTTTCAAGACATTTCAGGACAATACAGGACAATACAGGACACTTCAGGACATTTCAGGACACTTCAGGACATCTAAGAACAATTATGTAAAATTCAGTAGGAACAGGACAGGTTCTAAATTGCACACTCCAGACGATACATACAAACACGGAAGTACTTCTACACCAACATTTATAGATACATAAGTAAGGAAACAAAGGCAACAGTATAAATGGGTTCAGGCCCCGAAAATATGGGAAAACACATTTCTGTGGCCATCTCAACTTCACTTGACCTTCACTTGTATTGCTTACTAATGGCAGGAAAGGCTGTCACTGAGCTTGTCACAAATACCCCATGTCATTGCAAGTTTACCAATATTTGTGCTGGTAATTTCTATACAGAGATACCAGTATGAATATATTTCCTCTCTGGCTTTGGTATTCTGATTGAGCACGATGATTGACTGTAGTTTTCTACATATTCATAGTCTATTCACACTTCTTATCAGAAAACCATTCCAAATTAATTCACTTGTAACTCCAACATTATGCACTGAGGGTGACTGAGGTCTCTCATGAAGTGCTTCTTGAATTGTGTGTGATGTAACAACTGAACCAGCTGGGGTATATTGCAAGAGAAAATTGTGTCCATAAACACATGAATTCCTAAACATGTTGCACAGCGCTATTTCAAAATATGGGGTTTTCAGGTTAAGAATAGGTCCAAAGCAACCGAATAAATTGGGGGATGAGGCTTGTGAATTGTTCGATTGTGTGTCATCGTACACCAACTAGGGGGATTGCTGTTCATAATCTCATCAATGGATTGCTTGGTCCAGACTTGATCATTTGCAGACCATCATCATTCACCCGGAATATTGCTGTGTGGCATTCAACAGCCAACAAAAACAAACAAATCAAGATTCTTTCTCTAAAGACTCATATTTTGTAACACACAGAGACAGATTTACCTCGATTAGTATTATGGCTATTTATAAGAAAATCGACAAAACCCTTTGCATATTCAAAAGAAATCTCTGCTAATAACAGAGTTGATTGCACGATTCCGACTATATGATAAGCATGTATTTATGAATCACTATCAAACAGTGATGATACCAGGTGATCGCGAAAAGGTGAACGTATCCTGCCCCACCAGTGGCACCATCACAAACACATGCAAAGGCAAGTCAATTGTTCAGTCTACAGTTCGTTAAAAACTGACCACAACCCATCCACAGTCATTCTCAGTAAGAGCTTGTGCAGAGCACCCATGTTCCCTCAAATAAAACCATTTAAAAAATACACATGGGGCAATAATTGTTTTTTCCATACTAAATATATATTTTTTTAGTATTCTCTGCTAATTTGCTCATCAATAACAAATGTTTCTTCTTGAATAATGTACTAACTCATGAAGTGAAATTATAAAATTGTGAGCTTTGTTGCACGATTGTATCTTCCTATCAGGTTGAAAAACCTTGAAATTCCTGATATCGCGTCAGTAACCTGGCAGTGTGTCAGCGCGATGGCGCAATACAACACCTTATCTCTCCACTCAGCCACACATGGCAAGTCGCTGAATTTGCACATGTGAGTGCACACATGGACAATATTTCTATCTTCGTCGGTGGTGTTGACACATGGTGCAGTGGCTGGTGAGAAAGATGACAGATAGTGTTAACATGATGCTGTCACCCAGTCAGACATGAGGGCCAATCCTTACATGGCCACAAACCTTAGCTGGTCTCAGTGGTGTCAAAGTTGGCTATTTTCAGATGCAGTTTGTTTATTTGTGTCATACATGCATTTTAAGGTAACAGATCTGGGACTGCACTGATTTTTTCACGGTTTTCATGAGATTAAGATTTGCATCCATCATCTTGGAGACCTGTGAAGATCCAGAGTGGAATTAGTCTTCAGCAAACCCATTCTTGCTGTAAAAGGTGACTATGCTTGTCATAAGAGGCGACTAATGGGATCAGGTGGTCAGACTTGCTGACTTTGTTGATGCATGTCATCGCATGCCAATTGCATAGATCGATGCTCATGATGTCAATCACTGGATTGTCTGGTCCAGACTTGGTTATTTACAGACCGTCGTCATAGAACAGGAATATTGCTGAGTGCGGTGTTAAACAACAAACAAACAACCAGACAGATTGGCTTCTCATGGTGGGGATTTACCAAGGATGTATATTCAGAGACTAAAAGAAACGCAAAGGTTAAAGACCCAGAGGAACACTTGACATAAACACATCACCATGGATTTCCCTATCAGCACATTACACTGGGTGCAGCTCTTTCTGGACTTGTGGGTAGAAAACCCTGACTAGATAATGTAAGGCTTGTTTGGGATGATCAGGACCCCGTTCAACAAAACGGGACGGTGGGGTAGCCTTGTGGTTAAAGCATTCGCTCGTCATGCCGAAGATCCAGGTTCGATTCACCACGTGGATACAATGTGTGAAGCCCATTTCTGGTGTACCCTGCTATGATATTGCTGGAATATTGCTAAAAGCTGCGTAAATCCATACTCTCAACAAAGTCATCTTAACACAGACTTTCGACAGTCATAGTGCTAAGATTGCTTTGTGGAACTGGGCTCTGAGCTTGAAGATCAATGATGACTGCTTTTAGCCTGATGCATTGATGTTAATTTGTGATCTAAGTGTAGCACCTAGAAGCAAGAATTCCCTACATTGAAGTGAGTGAGTGAGTGAGTGAGTGAGTGAGTGAGAGGGGGCGAAATGGGGTTTTATCAACATCATTTTGAACAATATTACTGTTATTCCACACAGTAATGGTATTAATGTTGTAGGAAAGCTTGAAGTGATGGAGGTCTCTGACAATTTACAAGAACCCATGAAATTCGGACCACAGACCAAGGATTATAATTGTGATGACACTGTATACCAACAATCAGTAGATCCCCGCAGGACTAAGAGAATCTTGCAATACCTCAGCCCACTTACAGTGCAACAATTCCCCCAAATGAATAATCCATGTTGTGTTGAAACAGTACGTCTCTTCTCTCAATAGATATCCAGTAGTAGTTTGGGCAACAAGCCAACTTTGTCCCAATGAACATCAAGATGAGCTTGTTAAAAGCTTAGGAAGAATGAGTTATGACAAACAATTTAATAAAGGATTTAATGACATAGAAGTTAATCTGTTACATGTATTTTCATGTGACTTTATTCAAACGAAATGTTTGGAATCCAGCACAATGAGAACCCAACCACACAGTCTAGTTACCAGGGGATGCATAAATAAAGTTTACAGTGAAATAAAAATACATTTAATAAAACAAAAACAATGAAGAGATGTAATTGAAATTTTTGTTTTCTGAAAATTACATTTTTCCATTTGAATTGACACCAAAGGCATTTTCTCTGAAATGGTTTCTGCGACTGTAAAGTGATTTCCTTTTTGAGAGGCTGAGGTTGGAAGCGTGTTTAAATATCAAAGCTTGTTGTCTCCCTATCTGTCATAAAGTAATCACTGATCTCATTTCTCTGGAGTAGGAAAGGTCATTCCTGTGACGATAACGGCTTGATTGTAGCAATTTCAAATATTACAAAAAACATCAATGGTCAGAAATATCTACTAAACATGTTGACTGCTAAAAGATCATATAAGACATAATAATGTTGCAACTATGAGTGTGGACAAGGGTGTTTGGTGTGGCCCATAAGAATTACTGTACTTGGCCAAGCCACACCAATATCTGACCAATTACGGAGAGTTCCAATGTTCCTGACAGTGATATAGGTCTTGGCGCCTGATGCCCTGGTGCCAGGGTTGGCAGTGGAACCTCTCAGTATACAGCACAGTATAATTGGATAATATTGATCGCACACTGCCAAGAGATGAATGCATTACTTTTAGACCTTTCATAAACTTATCTTTTTTATGTGTGACAAAACTTGATATTTCTCCACACAAACACATGTAATACTTATGACGTCAGTTGTCATGACGACATGGTGTACAAAACACCTTCTTGAAATGAATAACTACCAAATTTTCTGTTAGATTGGAACCGGAGGAACATAATTGGTGCAAAGAGAATTCCTTTACAAAGGAAGGATATAGCAATGCCCTGGGTTTAAGAGGTGGTAAATGTCAAGACTTGTACATGAGAAGACTTGTGCAACTCAGAGCAAAACTTGATACATTCTCGTCGAGTTCAATCTATAATTTTTTGCCAAAAGGGAACACATCTAGTTTCCACGAGCTCTGAACAGAAACATAAAGATGCCAAAATCACTTTCCATGGAAATGTCGCCAGTCCTGTAGAAGCTCTTCTATCTGCTCTCTTCCTTCATACAACATACCATAGAATTACAGGCAGTTTTCATTCCACTATGTGATATCAAGGCCAGAACAAATGTCAATATTTCAATTAGATCAATGAGGGATCTTCATGCTATTTGAAGGGGAATTAAAAATGAAACTGAAGGTACGAATATACAATCCATAACAGAAGTAGCTTCATTCAATCTAAACATTCAAGTTTTAATTGAGGTTCAAGCTTACGCCTAACATTTTGTTTGTTCTCCTCCTACAGTAGCTGACTGCCATAACATAACTCATGGCATGAGTTCCCATGTACAGCACACAGACCACAAAGCAGTTTTTTTTGTTTTGTTTTTTGTTTAACGCCGCACTCAGCAATATATCAGCTATATGACGGTGTTCTGTAAATAATCAAGTCTGGACCAGACATCCCAATGATTGACATCATGTGCATCGATCCA